AAAGGAGAGAATTTTACCCCAAAGAGGCTGTTTGTTATCTACGTGTGAACTTTGGAACCAGCTGAGATCGGAAGGCTTTACAAGGGAACCCTTGTCAATTAAACGTACTCGGGAGATTCCCAAGAAACCAAAGACTCCCCCCAATACCTTTGCTCCACGTTAATAATGCTCTTCCAGGGATTCACAGGCTCAATGAATGAAGGAGCAACCTGCATTTGTGTAGTGCCTCTCCCAATCTTAGGACTTCCGAAAACGCTTCACAGCCTTATGGGGTACTTTCGTGACTCATTCACTCGGGGTTTATATTCTCTCATGGGATGTGGGCATCAATATTGAGGTCATCCATTATTACCCACCCCTAATTGCCCCTTGAACTAAGTGGCCCTTTCAGAGGGAAGTTAAAAGGTGGGGGGAGAGAGGAGGAGAGAAGGAGTAGAGAGAAAGGGAGGAGGGGAGGGGAAGGGAGTAGAGAGAAGGGGACGGAGGAGAGAGGAGGAAGAGAGAAGGGGAGAGAGAGCAGGGAGAGAGGGGGAAAAAAGGGAAGGGGGAGAGGGGTGAGAGAATGAGGGAGGAGAAAGAGAAGGGGATAGGGAGGGGGGAGAGAGAAGGGGAGGGATAGAGGGGGAGAGACGGGGAGGGGAGAGAGGGAGAGAGTGGGGGAGAGGGAAGGAGAGGGAGAGGGGGAGGGAAAGGGGGAAGGGGGAGACAGAGGGGACGGGCGGGGTGTGGGAGATTGGGAAGCGGGGAGAGGGAAGGGGAGGGCAAGGGGTGAGAGAGAAGGGAAGGAGGGGGGAGGAGAGGGGGAGAGAGAGGGGGAGTGGAGATGGGTGGAAAAGGGGGAAGAGAGGAGGCAGGAGAAGGGGGAGGGGGAGAGAGAAGGGGAGCGGGAGATGAGGGGATAAAGATGAACCCACATCACGGGGGCTGCAGGGGTTTGAGATGGGGTCAGCTCAGTGTCACCTTTTCAAGGGCCATAAACAACGGCACACTCACCTACCCACCCCCCCCAACCCCGTAACCCCCATACCAAAACCGAATAAACAGCTGGGTAATGTTCCAATCAGTCTGTTATCCTTCACACAGCGTCAGTTAGAATGGGGCAGATATTGGTCAGTGCACCAGGGGTGGGGATAATTCTCAGCCATCTCCCTCTTCTCCTCCACTTCTCTCTCCCTCCTCTCTCTCTCTCTCTCTGTCCCCTTCATTGGAATAGCACTGTAAGACATTGCACATCCCCTTGAGAGTGCAGGCTGGATGGATGATAGTTGTGTAAAGCCAACAATGTAGTGCTGGCTCAGTACCGAGCTGGGAGCAGCTGCCAGGCCTGGCCTGGATAAGAGAGCCTCGATCTCTCTCCTTGTGTGACAAATTGCCCCTTTGACATCCTGGCAGTGCCAACTGCCGTCTGAATAAAAACCGAAAGAACTGCGGATGCTGTAAATCAGGAGCAGAAGCAGAAGTTGCTGGAAAAGCTCAGCAGGTCCGGCAGCGTCCGCGAAGAGAGAAAGCAGAGCTAACGTTTCGGGTCCGGTGACCCTTCCTCAGAAATGCCATCTCACCGCTGCCCTAGAGGCAAGGTGATGAATGGTGTTCGTTGGCCGCTTGTCAACTTCAATCAGTCCAATATCTTTGTCACTTCCCCAGACGGGCACGCCCACAGCTGGCCACTACGCACACAGGAAGGAATCGCAAGTGTTTGAAAACAGACCTGGCTCAAGTGCCAAGTCTGCATTGCCAATCTCGAGTGTGATATTGTCAAGCTGAATAAATAGGTTCCCACAGAAAGAGGAAGCTGTGCTTTGGTTTGGTGATGAGGTGGCTGCTGTTCTTTAGATATTTTTAGAGTCTGTGAATAAGGTCAGCAAATGAATTACAACAGATGTCAACCGGACAAGTCCATTGGAGCAAACACACAGAGGCGTCAGGGGTGGCACGGGCAGTTCAAAGTAGGAACCTGAGCCCAGCTCCAGCCTGGG